CTATCTACACATTACACATTAGAGGCTGAGTGTCAAGGACAAATTTCTTAGATATCCCAATATGCGAAATATTCAAATAAGTTACAATGCCTTCAAGCTTTGCAGTTCTGTTCCTAAAACATAATTCCTAATATAATGAATTTTCTTGAGTGGTATCATAAGAATAGATTAGAAATATACATTTGAATGGTTTTACCTAAAGCAGATTTTAGCCTGATAAATAAGAAAGATTTTGTACCAAACCAGAGTATCTATAAACCATTATTTTTCTCTAAACTAATTGGTGACTTGAAAAACAAATAGATAATTCATCAACTGCAGTGCAAAGCATTAAATTTAGCCATTTGGAAGAGTGCTCCTTCCACTATTTCCTTTGCAAACATCAGCTTCTTTAAAGAGGAGGAAATATCTGATTGTGGATAGAATCAGAACCAAGTGCTATAGTTAAGCTGAACAATAACATTGAATTGTTCGGATATGCCTTTTATAGCAGAATAACAGAGTTGGAAGGGACCTTGGAGGTCTTCTAGTCATGAGGCATTTACAATTTGTATTCTTGAGTAATGGGTTAACATTACAGGTACTTGTAAGCAATCACAGAGTCTTAATTTGTTTTGTTATTTGCAGCTATAAAAATAAATTCACAGACTGATAAAATATTTACTCTTTATCTCCTTTCTGAACACTTCTGTTTTCCATACATTTTTCAGTAGTTTGATTTTCCCAAGTAAATACAAGCACTGGGTGCTTCTTCTAGGACATGAGTACTTTCCTGCACCCTTCTTCCACTGACACAGACAGTTAGCAATCCACATTCAAAAAATATTATCATTTCTGATATATGAAATAGTCTTTTAATTTTTTTCTTATGACTATATACTTCTTCCCAATTAACCTAGAACTCAGGATGCACATGAAATAAGTACCTGAATAATTTAATGAGGAGGCATACATAGTTCAAGTGGTATTTAAAACTATCCCTTTCTAGAAATTATGTCAGTAGCTTTTTGCTCATAGGAATGTGGGATTATTACATGGAATCAAAGGTTTTTCCATAAATTTACTTATTAAGCATGGCAAAATTAGAGATTCAGAAGAGCTTCTGCATTTAATATTTGGGAAATATGAAAGAAGTTTCTCATTTTTTCTACTTCCCAGTATAATATATAATTTAATACTGAATATAATGTAGATGTCAGCTTTGGAAACCATATTAGCACCAGAAGCTTCCACGCTGCCACATTCTAGAGCATGGGAAGATGAGAGGGGGGATTTTATGGAACACATGTGGTTAGACATAATAGCATTCTTCTTTAAAGTCAAGGTCATGTTATTCCTGCACCCGGCTGAGGAGTGGTTGAGGGGATGTCTCAAGTTGGGACAGATGGCGATTGGGGCATGTGATGAAATGATGGGTGCAGGGGGTGGATTTGTAATTTTTTACTTATTGGAGGGAAACCCAGAACTTTCAGATTTGGGATTTCCCAGATGTGCCACTATACCTACTCTAATAAAAGGAAATTTTGAGAAAATGTTTGTCTTGGAGTTAGTTGGTGTTGGGTTTTTCTAGAACCCTGACAGTAGAAGTATATAATTAAAGTGTAAATTACTCCAATAAGCTTTGAAATAGCTTGAACAAAACCCACTATAGTAAAGTGCTATTCTCAACAGCATATTCTCAAAGACCATCATGGAATCATGTTCAACCTTTATAACTTGTATAGTTTACTATAGTTTGTCTTGAGCAGCAATAGTTGCATATGGACAAGCCAACTGAATACAATTTTCTATTCAGTTCTAACTGAATTCTAATGAAAGGTAATAATAGACTTCAGATACACTATCTCTGTTCTCTTGCAGTTAGCTGGCACTGCAGGCTTTCACTGACATTTCCTGACAGTTTCACTAAATAATCTATTCTAGTCTGGAAAAGACAACCAATACAAAGATTGTTAGGCACAAGAAAAGAGCCCTGAAAAGGTCAGAATCTAATTGTTGATTTACTTCCTATATTGATCAATTTGAAAGTAGTTACTTTCATGGAACTGCAGATATAGACAAATACCTACCTGACTGCCAATGTTTTTGTTAATCCATCAAAACATGAGGATACTTATATGAGCAAATTCAAACCCTTTTTGAGTACTGACACAACCAAAACATTCCCAATCCCAAAATAATCTGATTATACATTATATATATTATATATACATCAGGATAATTGTAATACTTTCCTAAAGCATGGCTTAACAGCTTTAAGTAAAACCAAATAACCTGGAATTTCTCCCAGAATGGTTTTCATTCCCAGCAATTCATGAATGTATTCCTTTGTTTCAATATATCAAAATCCTTATAGTCACCGAGTCTCTTGTTCTAAAGTCTGTAAGAGATTCAGTGACTATAAGGACTTTGATAATGCCCCCAACAATCAGGGTTCTCATTTTACTGACCTCAGGAAAGATGGAAGGCTAAGTCAACCTTGAACTGCTCAGGACTGAACTCCTGGCAGTCAGCAGAATTAGCCTACAATACTGCATGCTAACTACCGCATCACCATGGCTCTATGCATAATGATAAATTTAGACATTTGACCTGAAGCATTCACTAAGTATGCACGGGACAAGATCAAGGAAGCAGTAGCTACATAGATGTCAGTAAGATATCTTTAATGTTGGCCAATCCTCATTCATAGTAAGTTCATTGAGGTGGATTTTCTTCGAATGATGTGAAATATTTCTTCCCAGGTTTCTTGCCATTTCATAAATTGCCAATGGATTTGCCTTCTATCACTTGATTATTGTGTCAACTCTATTCTATTCCTTTTTCAGACTTTTTCTTTCCTGACTAGGAAAGCAGGTAAGTAGAACATCTCATGGTACCCTTAGCTTGTAAAGTGTCAATGAAGACAGTCATCCAGGCCAAGGGTATCTCAAAAAAATTGAATCATAGCAACTGGACCAAAATTTATTAAACTGAGACATTTAGCTTCCCATCCAGGAAGCTTCATCAGTCAAAATAAAAAATTACTTAGGCAGAGAATCAGAGAGTCATTGGAATGTATCAACTCTTGCCAGATCAGTTTCAGGGGGTTCTCCTCAAAAATTTAACAAATATTAACAAATATTGGTCCAGTTGCCATGACCTTTTAGATACCTTTAGATACCTTTGGTCTGAATGATTGAGTCTTCATTGACATAATACGTTTTGGGGAGAAACCCCTGAACTTGGTGTGGCAATAATTGGTACATTCCAATGACTGTCTGACTTTCTGCCCATTTTTTTCTTTTTGACTAATGAAGCTTCCTGAATGGGAAGTGAAACTTTTCAGTTTAACAAATTTTGGTCCAGTTGCTATGATTCAAATTTTTGATACTTAATTTGTAAAGTTTTACTGGGATTCACAAAACTAGCTACATATTTACACATGTTAAGAACATGGTAACAGTAACATACAACACTAAGAATTTAGCAAATGGTATGGTAATACTATTAGTTCAAAAGTGTTTAAAAATGGAAAAAGTTAAAGTTTTAAAGGAGCAGGTTTGGTGGAAATGGGAAGATAAATTCTGGAAAGCTATATGTCAATGAAAGCTGAATGCTATATGTCAATGTGATGAAATATAATGGACAAAGTAGAAATGTTCATTTAAATATAGAAATATGAAAAATTATTGAACAATTATAACTATTAAGCAATATGCAAGAAAATACAGTCCCTAGTTGATCAAAAATATTTGGTGGGACTTAGAGAGCAATTGCTATTCCAGTCTGCCAACACTTGGATTTGTACTTAAAATCCATATTCACACAAACTAGAAACTATTGGACATTATGTTGTGTTGAAAGGTTGTATATATCAAAGTTAATTGGACTCTTGGACTTCTGACATGAAGGACTGGTAGGCAGGCTGCAGGAATTGGGGTTTGGATCATACCTATTTACTATACAGAGTTTCTACTTAGTTTGATTATTCTAAAATAAACAAAAGTAGATGTGAAGCTTGTTTAGAATAAATTATTGACCAATTAGTTGCACTGATTAATGTAACCTTTTAATGGTAGTCACTAACAATGTCCTAAGTGCACTTCACCATTAAATAAAGAACTGGTAACTCATATAGAGGATGCAGGCCACTGAGAAACAAAAATGATGAAAGGAACTTATAAATTAACCTGTTTAATTATTGGAACAATCCCTTGAAGAAACAACATGAATAGGAGTGGTTTTATCTCTGGCGTGGCAAGATGTGGTATTACAATACTTCAAGAAAGGTAAGGAAGACTTATGTTAAAGATTTGGCCTAAGAATTCACCAAAATGAATTGTGCATGTGCAATTTGAAGTGCTCATGGAGTGGGAGCTTTCATTAAAAATATCTGTATCATGCAATATGGCTGGGCTTTGCTTGAAATTTAAGTAAAATACAAATGTTGCCTATTTCTTCTTTCACTGCTATTTTAAACACAGGTTTGATGGTTGTGAGGTAGCTTACGCCATCATAAATTGTCACAAAAGATGTCATAAGCATATAGCAGAGTGTTCCCTGTTAGTAACACACACAGGAACAAATATTCATCCTTCTTCCTCATACACACACAGAGAAATTCCAAAAACAGGACAATTCACTTTTCTGACAGCTCCAGCACATTTTATCTAAAAAGTAGTACTTTAAACAATTTCCCCAGGGAAGGGTAGCATTGAAAAGCCTTCTATGAGCGGGTAGCCCCACATGCCCTTGATGTCCCTTGGCTGACAGCGATCCCAGCTGTTCAGCGGCCCTCCACGTGGCCTCAGATAGCTTCCAAACCAGCAAGAACCAACCGGTGACGGCAAGTCAACCAAGCCCTCTTCTCATAGCATCCCTCCCTCACAGATGGATCAAGACGGTGCCCTTCCATTGGGCAGCCTCCACGCGTTTCCCATTGGCCAAGTCCGAGGTGGGGTCTGAAAAGAAGAACGGCCCGATCATGGCCCAAATCATACGTTTGCGAAGATTTCTGGCACCGAGATTCTGCCACCCACCCACCTTGGGACGCGATAGGAATAAAACAAAGCAAAACCAAACGGGTTCAATACATATCGGCCTGGACAGAAATACACACCTCCCCGCCCATCTCGGTTAACCGGTTACTCCCGGAATTGAAGAGGAGGGGGAAAGGGCCGGACTTAATAATGAACTGGATACGGAGAAAGGACGCGTGATGCTGCGACTGTTCCTGTCCCCGCCTTAATCCCCGCCTTAGTCCTGGTCCTGCGGCAGCGCACAATTAACGGACTGGTCCCAAAGGTATACCCAACGGTGTGCGCCGGCCTTGTCACCCTCCCCCAAACAACCTGCGGTGCTTATCCCAGTAGATTGAAGTCCCATTTAGAACTGCTTTCAAGATGGCTGCTTTTAGGTCCCGGGTGGAGGGAAACTAATTGCAATGCTAGAGGCTATGGCAAGGTAAAACTGGTTTTGTTAGTTTCCGAGCACAGGGGATTTGGGTGTAAAATGTTGCGGCGTCGGAAGTGGGAGGATGTTAATCTGGCATTCGGCGTGAAAAAAAGGTCCTCGGCTAGGCTCCCGTATCGCCCCATAGCGTGATGTCTGGGGTGGGGGGGAAAGATTAACGTGCGTAAGTGTCATGCATCCTCGTGTATGCGGCCTAAGGTGTATCTTTTTGTCTACAGAGGCGATTGGCAATTTGACAAGTCACTGAGGCATCTGTGGCCATCTATCAAATGGGTGGAGATAAAAGGCGGAGTTAGTGCGGTTACCTCCCCTGTCCAAGGGCAAGCAATTCTGCAAGTGCCGGAGAAGGTGGTAAGATTTGAAGGTTGGTTTGTGCATTCAACTTTGCGGCAGCCTTAGTCCTTCGGCTTGCCAACGAACCTTGCCAACGAAAGGTCAATAGAACCTTTCCCACGCATCTCCCGCTTTCACCCACACGTACGCTTAACAAAGCGGCCCGTGAGGGAGACATTCACATGGTGAACAGGGGGTTTGCCCACCTATCCAAAGCAACGCGCTCCAACCACAACAGCAGCAGCGAGGTGGCAAAAAAGGACACTCTTCTCTGCCTTCCGTGCCTGGGGTGGGAAACGGTGGCTAGACGGGTTATAACGTTCCTTTACAGTGGAGGTCAGCAGCGTTTTAGGAGCAGGACAGAAACACGAAGCGGTAGGCAACGGGCACACATGGCTAGAAATAAACAGATCAGAAGCTGCTGCTACCGCCCCTTGCTTCCACCCCAGCCGCCTTTCCCAAGCTGCGCCAAGGGGGACAGGTTTTGCCTTAAAAGAACCCACTGCATGGATCTCTTTTACGTTACCTGGCTTCGTCTCTCTGTCTCTTTCTCTAGCTTGGGCTGGGTTGGCTCTAAGCTTGCCGCCGCCGTGCCGGTTCCTGCTCCCTGTCACTGGGTGAATGGGATTATTTATTTATTTCCCGTGACGTGATCCGCAGAGGGAGGGTGAGGAGGAGGCGGCGGCTGAGGGGCCTTTTGTGCAGCCGGTCTGAGGCTGCTTTCATCCGGAGGTGGAGGAGGAGGAGGAGCGGGAAGCAGATCGCGGTCACCCGACTTGTCCTCGCCTGCTTTTGTTGTTGCGGCTGCTGTTGCTCCCGCGGCGAAGGATTGGTGTCAAGGGCAGTCAGGAGCCAGAGTTGCATCCCACGCCTAGGCGAAGTAGGGCGGAGGTTGCCTGCGGAGGGAGGCGGAGGCGCCTGCTGCTGAGCTCCAGTCTCTAGGCCGGCAGCTCTCTCTTCCCGTTGGGCGGCCAAAGACAAGGTGAAAAACACAGAGTTTGGCAGGGTGCGGCGAAGGAATTGCGAAGGGACTCAGAAGAGCCCTGCGAGATTCCCGTTGCCGGGGCGGCTGTAACCCAATTGCGCTAATACAGTTCGAGGTGTCGCTTTGCTTAACGCCTTTTCCTTTATTAGGAGGGTGAAGCTGCGCGATTGCTGCAAAGGCAATCCCGTCGTTACTGCGAGTACCTCCGCTCGCTTTCGCGCTCGATCGGTCTACTTCGGAGCAAAGACAGCACCACCACACTTTGCTCGCATATCCGCGTTTTCCCCCGATGATGTGGATGGGCCCTGAGATCCCGGAGAGCAGTTCTCCGCATCTCCCTGCTCAGAGTCAGTATAAATAGGAGTGCTTTTCACTTATTCAACTGAATCTTAAGTTGTAAAGAAGTAAAATTCACGAGGTCCGCTCTTTGGCAGCGTGCGAGAGGGTACCGGCTTCACTTGAAAGGCAGCAAGAGGGCAGACTTATTGCCAAATTTATATTGAAACTGCAACTGTAAGTTCCTCGTAATCTTTCCCCGACTTTCCCTGATTCACAGCAATGTTTTGGGCTAAATCCCGCCTTATTGGGGGCTTGGAGAGTAAGCTGCCTCTTGCAAGAATCCTCCTCCAAAGTGACTGGGGAGAGTCTCTTTCTTCTCATTCTCCTTGTCCCAGAGATTCAGGAGGGGGGAAAAGGACAACTGAAGCTGCCTCAATACTTGATCTTTTCTCCCAAGTTATAAAGGGCCATTTCAGATCAGTAGAGGAAGAATTACTAATAAATATCTTTTTAGAGAAAATATTGTAGAAAATATTTCTACAGTTCTGCCATCAGCTCTGGTTCCCAATCCCTCCAAAGCTGTTTTAATTGATTGATTAGCTGTTGTTTTTATTGCCAACAATCCTAGGATGCAGCAGGCTTGACCTTTTGGTTAATTTTGTGCAGCAGTTTGGGAGATAGGGGTACAGAAATGCTTTTCACTTTTTCCAACTGCATCCTAGGTTATAAAGAGAGGTAAAATGTTTTACAGTGCCTAACCCCCAATCCACCTCCTTATTTCACTTTAAGTTTTTTGACTGGCAGTCTGCGCCAGTTTCTGGGAGCAGGAAGAGTCAACCCAGCTCTGCTCTTTGAAAGACCTTTTAGCATGTCTGCAGCCAAACTTCCAGGATACAAGAAATTCCAGACATAAAGAAACTGCTTCTGTGTAAGCTCCTCAGAAGGGCATCATATCAAGCAATTAAACTAGCCTCACACTGGTTTCAAGTATAAAGCAGCTGAGCCAAAAAGAAATTGGTTCAGCTGCTGAAGGATGGATGTGGGAGTAAATCCTAATGTGTTACACCATTAAGCTGGCTTTTGTTCACAGCAAAAGACTGGCTTTTCTCCTTACTATCTTTACTTTGTATCAGATTTATTCTCCCCCATCCACTTTAGAATTCCCATGGATTAAAAAATAATTGATTCAAATTTAGGTTTCTTCTGTTTGGATTGAGATCTAAATATTACAAGACGTTTTTAGAAAGATTAATCTTACTGACTGTATGTAAAGATTATTCCAGGCATGTTTTACTATTAGCGACACCCGATATAAAAGAAACTCTCCATCCTATAGGTTTTGTGTATTGTTTTAATTCCTATTTTGGAAGTACACTTTTCATATGGGATTTTCACAGAGCCATTGTTATACTGGTAGCATTAAATAGATGTATTTATTTAGACTAAAATTTAACACTGCCATGTCACTTGGCAAATTTTTATTCTTGCTAGTCCAGAGGCTCAAACTCTTTTGGTGTGCAGATTTAAGCAATCAAAAGGGATGGGGCTTCTGAATATCAACAGACAAGTTCCACTCTTTCTACTCACATATAATAAAATTGCTATGGATGCCCCTGAACAGTAGTGTCAAGGTGGAAGTGGATGACTGAATCCTCCATTGGGGGAAAAATTTTAATCTCTGCAAGGACTGAAAAAAGGGGGAAATGCTTCTGTATAGGACAGGACTGACAAACTTGTGGCTCGGATGCTGGTTATGCCCACATCCGGTTTAACGAAGGGGGAGAAAGTTACAATACATCACATGACGCCGCTGTGACGACATGAATTTGGAGCCCCTGGTATAAGGGAATAAAGTTTAGTTCTTTACAGGGTTTATTTCCCCATTAGTCCCAGGGAATCTATCCCAAGCCAGTTTGGTCTAGTGGTTAAGGACTGGACTAAGAAAGCAGGAGGCTGTGAGTTCAAGTCCCGCCTTGACCATGAAAACCAACTCGGTGACCTTGGGCCAGTCACTCTCTCTCTCAGCAGACATCACAGGTTGTTGTGGGGAAAATAGGAAATATTGGATATGTTTACTGCCTTCAGTTTTTTGTAAAAATAATAAAGGCACGATATAAATTAAATAATAGTTCCCATGGATCCTTAGGGGTCTTTGGAATCCAGTCTGCAAAAGACAAACATAACAGATGATGATTGAACTTATAAGTTATTTATATTCTGTTTATATATTTATATAGGCACTAAAGCTATTAAAGGTATTAAAACAAAATGTAATATATACAGGTTGTCCTTTACTTATGACACAATTGGGACCAGAATTTCAGTTGCTAAGCAAGGCAGTTAGTCACACCTAATTTTACAACCTTTTTGCCAACGTCTTAAAGCCACTCATTGCAGCTAAGTGAATCATGAGGTCATTAAATGAATCTGGCTTCTGCCATTGACTTGCTTGACAGAAGCCAGCTGGGAAGGTCACAAATGGTGATCATATGACCCTAGGATACTGCAACCATCATAAATACATGCCAGTTGCTAAGAGCCTGTATTTTATCATATGGCTGTGGGGATGCTCTAATGGTCATAAGTGTAAAGACGAGTCATAAGTCACTTTTTTCAGGGCCATTGTAACTTTGAACAGTTGCTAAATGAATGGTTGTAAATTTAGAACTACCTGTACATAAACAAATATTAAAGTCTAAATTTAAATTAAAAGCAAACAATATGTCTGAAGACACATCCAGGCCAAAGGTATCTAAAAGTTTGGCTCATGGCAACTGGACCAAAATTTGTTAAGATGTTTTGCTTCCCATCTAGGAAGCTTCATCAGTGAAAATAAAAAAATAGTTAGGCAGAGAGTCAGAAAGTTTTTGGAATATACCAACTACTGCCACAGCAACTTCATGGGTTTCTCCCCCCAAATGTATTGCAATGTGTTAATGAAAACTCAATCATCTAGGCCAGCGGTCACCAACCAGTGGGCCGCGGAAAATTTTTGGTGGGTCCCAGAAGAAATGGCCCCCAAAAGCAATTAAACTTCACCAATAACAGTTTTAGACCAAAACTCAGAACGGGTATATAAACTCACATTTGTATGTCAATCTTTCTAGCTAGCCAAGAAGCCTTGCTGAATGTCACTCATCTTGATTCCTTGTCATTAAAAGTTTCTTTCCAGCAGCTCTGCTTCTTTATTCAATTATTTCTTCAAGATGTTGATCATTGCATGTCGGCTGGAAGTATTTCCAGGGGAGTATTTCCTCCCAACAGCAGTGTAAAAAGCTTAAAACAACTCTTCCCCTTTAAGAAAGTCAAGCAAAGTAACAGCAAAGGAGAAAAAAAAACCTCCAGAGAAGCTCCAGAGACAGGAAGTCTAGGCGTACTCCCAAGAATGTAATCAGGGTTAACGGAGAGGCAGTTTCTGTAAGCAACCAGAATGTTTCCTTCCTGCCTTCCTTACAGGATTAGGCCAGTAATTTCTTCTAACAACTGGTTCTCCAAACTGCTTAGAAAGTTAACAAGTTCTAGCGAACACGTGAGAACTGGTATAATCCCAACCCTGCACTAGACCATAAGACGCACCTCAGTTTAGAGGAGGAAAACAAGAAAAAAATATTTTTTGCCTCCATGGGTCCTAGTTTTGCCCTCCCTTACATCCAGAAGCACTCTGCAGGCCAAAAACATGCCCATTTTTGCCCACCCCGGCATGTGCATGGGGTTTGGGAGGCCAAAAACAGGCCCATATTTGCTCTGTAAGATG